GACCGCTTATTATATTACTCTTCTTTCAAATTTATCGTTTTCATGAAAATTGCATGAACGGGAACTAAACTAAACGACTGGATATGTTTTTAAACGATTACCTTACCTAAATTAGCGTCGATGTCTTACATTTCTCTCACCTCAGATCTTGAAATCTACGTTTCAACAGTGCTTCTACCCTTCATAGCTTTTTTTATCCTGACTGTGAAGCGACAAACGAAAAGTGTTGTCAAGACAACTAATACATTTATTATTTGCTGCCACTGACATACACCTGCTGTTGATATAATGGGTGTTTATGTAAGACTCGCGAAATGAATGACAAAATAAATTAAATATTAAAAAAATTAAATCGTGTCCTACTGAAGTTTCTAACAAGAAATAACTGGACCTTTTCTGAGACGAAAGAAAAAAGACGAACGAATAACAGTTTTTTAAAAAACGTTCTGAAAAAGTTTGAAAAGTTGTATTTGAACTTAATTTTGGGCAATAACTAGATAATGCAAAAAGGCCTATGTTTTGAAACTTTTCCCCCTAAATTTCGACGTTTGATGGCAATTTCGCCCTCGTCACCAAGTCTTACCCTTTCCTTTCAGTTTTTCCTTTATATTTATCACTGGGTATGTTGCTGTGCTGAAGTCAGGCCGGGCTGTAGGACGAGTCATTTGTCTCGTCGTGAGTTTTTGCCTTTCCTCTGCGTGTTGGTATACCTTGAGCAGCACCCCAATAGCTTTTAATTCCTACCTTAAGAATTTGTGACACTGTTTTGCCTGTTTTGGAGTTGAATGCCAAAGGCTGTCAAAATTGCTGGCAAATACCGTGCAGAGAAACTAAGCTTTTTGCAATCGGTGTACTGTCTTCAATTGGTGAAATGCCCTTTTGGTCTTTTGAATACTAAATACCTGCATATAATAGGTGAAGCTATAGAAGTCATAGACATTTGTATCGAATTTTACAAAGCTGGGCCTGATTTCCAAGCGCTTATTTTTGATGCAACTTGTATGTGTCATCACGAATTTGAAGACATCCAAAATATTTACCTGAAAGAGCTTGGCCTATCTAAGTCATGTGATAATTAAAATTATTACTCCCTACTTGAAGATAGGATATCCTCTCTAGTCCCTACTGTGTATTTTATTGCTTTTCTGACCAACAGAGAGAGCCACCAAAGTAACGAATGTATACGGCACCGCGGGCGCAGATGATTGATTTGTTCTTTGTGAACTCTGTGAAGGTTTGTTAGATTCAGATGAACAACCCCCCACCCCCCAGGGGGAGGAGGGATAGGACCAAAAAAAACAAACCGCAAAATCATACCTCCCTGGCGTGATTCTGTGGGTGTTGAGAGTTCTGGGTCAGAGCTTAAATCAGAGTGCGCGGATATTTTTCACCAGAGCTTTCTGGTTGTTACGCCATACTGACGAGCCCCAAAGAAGGCGAAACAGCTGTCTATGGCTACAATCCCGCTCTGTTTTGAGTTCTTTCGGTGTCATGTTGATGTCTTGCAGAGTTAATTTTCACGTAGTACGATCAGCATTGCAGTATTCTGTTTGCAGAATTTAACATGTCTCCCTGAGAGGGCCGTTTCCCAAAAGTCCCCGGCGTTAAGTTTTCGAGCCTCTGCGTAAGAATTAGCCTGCGAAAACAGCCGTTTCTCCTCACTCTTTCCCGCTGGGGACGTTTCGCGAGGAGTAGGGGCGGATCCAGGACTTTTCTTAGGAGGGGGTGCACCACTAACTGACTGATGACGTAAAAAGTTGTAAAAGCGGATACGAAGAAGAAGGCTTTTGACTAGGACATAACATAATGAGAACTGCTGAGAATACATATCAAACGATAAAGCAGATTTTGTATGACTGTGAAGCGACTGCACAGTGTTAATTAGAAAGCCGGAGGTCATCCCGGGGGGGGGAGGGGGTTGCGCACCCCCTGCACCCTCCCCCTAGATCCGCCCCTGAGGAGGAACGACTTTCCTCCGCACGAAACGTCCCCAGCGGCTGTTTTCGCAGGCTACGTAAGAATCGAAAGAATGCGTGTATTTTGGGTTCCAGCTCCTCCAACGATTACTATTTTCGTTAACTTATAGCTTTATTGCATCACTTTCAAAACCACTAAACTTCAATGTTAGATGCACTCGTTGCAAACATAAGAAGGCTCAGTTTCCGGGATTTTTTCGGGACTTTCGCGAAACGGACCCTAGGGGAGTCTCGATAGTAATAAATTATAAAGAGTCAGATGCCCATTATGGGCTCCTGCAGGAGCAATAGGTTCCTGGCTCCTGGCTCCTGAAAGAGTGACGTTCAATTGGAAAAGTGTTACAGCAAACCAATCCAAACTTCATGAAGTCAGCTCTCGAATTCTTTCTCTATCCTATCTTATGCCCCAACACTGAACAACAACAACAACAACAAGCTTTATTTACATTTCGCTTTAGAATAATAATAGTTACAGAAGGTAGTTTTAGTCCAACGGTCAGTTACATGCAGTGTAATAAAAGGAAAACTAAAAATACATTACAGGTAAGGAAATGCCTAGCATCTAAATAAACCGTTAGGTTTCCGAGTTAGATACTAGTCTTGTATTGTTACAATTTAAAATGTAGACATCAAGTGCAAAACATAAGTGCTGATGTCTACATAGGGCAAGAATTTTTGCCAATAATGGCGGAGTTATGAAAAACATGTCAGGTCGCCATGACTGACGCCGTAGACCCCTCTAAATTATTAACTATGTTGAAGGGGAGATTTGGACATATTTTAATGCTGACTGATCACAACGCATGCGCAGGAAAGAAGGGATCAATTGTACATAATTAAATTTTCATATTTCTGTTACAAAGGAGTAACAATTACAGACATTCATATAGACGGGGCGTAATTAAGTTTTGTTCGCGCTCTAAATTATTAACTACTTTTCCAAGCGAAGGAATCCTAGTGCGTAATGTTAGAAAATGGCTCTTTAATGATGCTTAGAGCGAGGAAAAATTGCAACAGTTTTTTCGTTGGTGGCTGGGAGAGTCTATGGCCGGCACGAGTCTTCAATAGACAAGACCGTTACAGCATTCATCTTTCATAAAGGTAAAAAAAAAAAGCTTAGACGTTTTCCGCAATGATAACAAGACAGGCAGGTGGTTTCATTAAGAAAAATATTGTAGCTTTTACTTTCTTAAATAATTCTTAAGAGTTTCCTTCCCTAAAAACTTGATCCCACAACTAGAACCCTAATATTTTTGCAAACAGCACAACTCGTTTTGGTCATGTTCTTGCTAAGCGAATTGAATCGAAAGAATGGCATTGCTAGTTGCAGATATGGACGCTCTCTGAGTTTTTTATGGGCCGGGTGCTTCAATTAAGGAATAGAAGCTTAAAAAGAAATGTTAAACTATGTATCTAAACCAGAAAAAGCTATACAAGATGTGTAGAGTGCATTTACTTTATCATCTACTTCTAAGGTGACAAGTAAAACATCTGTGTTCATGAATTGTATTTTAAACTGTAGAAGATTCTTTTCAATTAAAATTTAAACTATGTTGAATCGTTAGCGTAATAAAGTTTATTTTTCAGAGCTTGAAGGATTTGTAATACCAAGAACTTCACAGTTTTAGATAGCATTTATTTCTCTAGAGCAATGAAACAAAATATATCGCTTATGAGAAAAATCACTGATTTAAACCGGCTCGACGACTGTTGTAAATGATTATATTTAAGAAGGAGGTGATTACGTAAATAATGATGTCGATTTTCTGTGTATGTTTTTTTCAAGTTCTACGATGGGCACTTGAGTTCTGTTTTCAATAGAATCAGAGTAGAAGATCAAAGCAAGAGCACAAAGAAAAATCCTCGAATAACCGACTCTTAAGTGCAGTTATATCAAGTACACTGAGCTGCCATCTAAATCTCCAAAAACTGAATTATTCCCGCAAATTAATAACACGCCGACCTCTTTATAGATATTCTTTTTTATTAGGTTGACAGACTTTTCGAAAGTTTATTTTAATCATTGTCCCTTGTTAAAATCTGCAAAGGATAGTAACACTTTGTTACAAAGCATGTTCTGCCAGATAACCTACATTTTCTTTCCCGAGCCGAATTCGAAGCGGAAAGGCAGCCCTCTGATTGGGCTAAAAATGTTTCATTTGTTCATTGAGAAATAACAAACTTTCTTTGACGTCAATGCGAAATAAGTCCTCTTGGCAATAACTTTTCTTTGAACTGATTCTCCGACGCAAATATATCAGCTTAAAGCGCGAAATTGTCAAGGGTCTAAATAAGTTAGCAAGGCCAATACTGTTCCTTGATCTCTCAGCTGGAATATCAAGGTCAATTTACAACCGCAGCTTAGAATGAAACAAAACCTATATACATTCTTGCATCTTTTAATAGTGGCGAAAACATTGTTTTGTAGCTACAATGTAGTTTAAAGTCTTTTGGTGAGTTCAAAAAATGCCACAAACAAAATGCAGAAGAGTCAAAGAATTGCCGTTTTTTGCCAAGTTACCAAAAAAGATTCAATTTACTTCAACCCAGTACGGCTTCTATGCGATTCTTCAGCACTGATTTTTATTTTCATCATTTACACGATATTTACTGAGCCGCTACAATATTTAGGCTGCCGCAATAAGGATTTTGTGAAGAAACGATTAAGGTATGGTGTCTGACGTGCATGATCGATTCATATTGATTGCCCCTATGCCAGGCCTAACGTTACTTTCTCAGAAAAATAGCTAATATATTAAGTCTGTCAGTGCTTGATTCAGACAAGACACTTGGTTTCTTGATTTTTTTGTGTAATAGTTTCTTTTCCCTCCCGTGCTCTAGTTTGTTATTCGTGCCACGAAACATACAGTTGTCACTGACCAGTTATACGTCAGTAACCGTGTATTGTTCCTTTCATTCTAGGTGTATCGTTCATCATTGCGCCTCAAGGATCAAAAACGTAAAGCAGAGTTTCAGTTCGCAGATAAACATTAGCGCCCATGAAGAAGAGAAGATTGTTCTCCAATGTCAAAAGCACTAACAGTTCTCAAAGTGTTTTTTTCGCTTGTGTCTATAAATTCTACACAGGATCCCCCTTTGACACGTGTAGAGCGGGTTTACGTCGGACAAGCATTCCGGATTTCTTTTCTTGAATACTTTGAAGACGTTATTAAAGGTGATCCAAAGGAGCTTCAGTTTGAAATGAACATAAACAACAACTGGATGAAGTTTGACGACAGACCTGAAAAAATTGAGGTGTATGGTTTTCCATTGAAAGGAAATGCACACAATTTTGATTACAATATCAAGGTCAAGAATTCCACCGAGGCATTACTACACGAGATTACATTAAAGCTCTTGGTGGGGGAAAATGGATTCAGAGATGCTCTTAACTTTACAAACAAGTACAGTCACGAAGTGATCTTAAAGACAGGAATTGAGTTTAATTACCATCGGTTCATGACAAGGGTGGATTTGAGGATTGACTTTGTTAGGAAACTGGCAGATTACTGCTTCAACAAAGAACCTACCTCCGTCTGGATCAAAGATTTTGACAAAGACACCAAGGAATTGACAGTTGTATTTGTTAATATTGGTTACTATCCTTGCCATAAAGAAACATACAGGGAACTTAGATCACGTTTGGTCGATAAAAACTCAAAGATCCAAGAAGAATTTCAAAGAGCGCTGACCGGAAAATTTCCGATAGAGAGCGTTCAGTTTAGGTTTTTTGGCGCTTGTGACAAAAACTTGTTGGAACCAGAAGACAGCTCTTTTTCTTGGGGCATTCTAAAACATTTCGCGCCTCTTGCTATTATTTTTGCAGTTGTAGGAATTCCAGTGACTATTTCAATTTTAGTAAAGAGACACATACGTAGAAATAAACGTCCAGCGCAGGAGGAAAGGCTGCCTCGAACGCTGCGAAGAAGAAATGAGGACGGGACGGAGTGCACATCGCATACTGTTCATTTCAACAATCGTTATCCTTCGATGCTGTCACCCTCAAATAACTCTAGAGAAGAAAATGTTGGAGATGAAGAGAAGGTCCACAACGGGAAGGCAAAAATTGCGAATGGAAGCCTTGGAGGTGGGCATTTGACCGTGCCCAACGCACATCTAAGTCGACCCAAGCAGGGAGCAAGCGCGACAAACGCAGGAAAAAATAAGAAAAATCCGTTTAAATTTGCATCCAATGAAGAAAGGGCGAAATTTGACGTACGTGCCATGTGGGACGATGATGATGATGACGATGAAGAGCCTTTAGAGATTCCCACATATTACACTTACAGGAACACCGATGAAGGTGAGACTTCAATGTTCGATGCCGTGCTAGACATGAATTTGTCTGACATTGCTGAAAACATTTCCGCCAGGCTGAAAGGTGTAAAGTCTATGTTGAACATCCAAGAGGATACCACCTCGCAGCATCATCAACCGACCCATCAATCGACAAATTCTGGGCCGAGCTTGTCATCGAGACTGAAGGGACTGGGGAAGTCAATGCTTAACGTTTCTTTGACAACGAACGGGCCCGATGTGACTGCGGGCCCATCTTCAGGTGAATCAGCGACGCCTTCTCTTTCCAGCAAACTTCGGGATTTTGGAAAATCCATGTTGAATATTTCAATTGGCACGGAAAATGAAAAGATGGACGCGAAGACTAGATGGGAAGTAGAAGAAGATTCTTATGAGGATTCTTATGAAGAAAGTTATTCTTACTACAATCCTCGGGAATGCGATGATGCGAAATCCAAACAGCATGTCTACAGTAGCGCTTGGGAAGGTTACGCCGATCATACACGAGCTAGAGATTGCTGTGAAGTACGACATGGCTACGAAGATTCACGACAAGGGTACGATGAAGCCCGACCAGGTTACGATGGCGAAGAGCGATATTACGATTCAAATGCTAAACAAAGCTTTGATTTTGTGCAGGACGGCCGTTCGGAAATGGGTTTTGTTCGTAATTTTAATCGTCGACTTAGCAGCACTTCGGGTAACACTTCTGAGTATGAACTTGCGCAGTACAATTTCCCTGTTCGTTATGATGTTTCAACTGCGAAATACCAACACACTAAAAAAGATTCTCTTGAAAGTAATAGCCGTGCTACCAGACCGTCTTCCAGGGAGGACGATTTTGATGAATATCCGCCATCATTATTTGAAACCTCGAGCGAGACCAGTCTTGCAAATGAACAAGAAAAATCCATTTTTGATACTGATTATGATCTCGCTTCGACAGACAATAGGCCTAGTGTTACTAAACCGGTTCCTATCTGGAATCACAACTCGATCAGTAAGGCAAGGGAAGGTCTTAATGACGTCAAATACCACGATTACATTAACCCACATCAGTACAGCAATGGTCCCAGGCATGTCTCCACTCGAAGCAAATCATCGTGCAATATACAAGGAAACAGCAGCGTTTCTAGCCAATCAACGCTTGACTTCTGGGACGATGACGAATTTGGCGGGAACACAGGCTGGAAGCAGTCCTCGGATATGAAGAGCAGTTTTTTAGCGACCATAGCAAATTCGGTGCCTGATTTGAGGCGTGGGGTGAGGAAGACCAATGGCACAATACCACAGAAGAAAAATCAACAGGGAAACTCGCTTCTTTCCAATGTAAAATCTTCACTATCGGGGGAAAAACCTCCTGTTGTTTTTACACTTGGTGATAGTGACCAAGAAGAAGAAGAAGTACCACAAAAGACACAGCAGAAACAACAGCTACCCGAAAGGAAAAGCTCTTTGGTCGGTATGATCAAGACGGGTGTTAGCAGCATACTTGAGCCTGATAGCAGTGTATCAAAGTGGTTTTCTGGTTTTCAAAACAGCGACAATCCTGTCACGTAGTATAAAGATATAATAAATATTTGGAATGAGATTTTTCAGGATCTTACAGCCACAAATGGTGGGCCCTTGTCATTGAGCACCCTTTCTTTAAGAAAGCGATTGAAACGCAGTGTGCACAAGATTCTTATTGGCTTGCCGGATTTAAAGCGGACCGTGATTTAAAAACTTGTTTCTGTAAAACCGTTTATCATCACAAGTCACCGCAAATTTGCAAGCTATAAACAGCTAAAGTTGCTGATACTTTTTGGAAAAGTGATCACAGCGATTGCACCATGCTTGAGGATAATATGTGAACAAATGAAGCAAAGACTTCGAATCTTTACCGTATTTTTGTCTTTTAGTCAGTTAACGTTTTTTAGTGGCGAACTGCAGATCAAGGCCCCTTTAAATGCATGTTCTCTTAGTATTCTTGGGAGATTAAAAATGGAATTTGCAAGTTTCTTTTTAGGAAGTAAAATGATAATAGAAACGAACAATTTCTTTTTGTAAAAAGTGATCATTACAATAAGTACATATTATATTATAAGTACAGGCAATAACATGCAATAAGAAGCTCTTAATAGGATATTTCTTTCCTTGGAGCAAAAAAATGTTGATACACTATGTCCCGTTCAAAGGATATAAACCAGGGTAATTCGTTACGAATTTGCGGTGTTGTGTTGGTGAGGAGCGAAAAATGAGCTGTCTCTTATTTGGGACGTTTTTTCCAGTTTTAAAATTGGGTAAAGGCAAATTTTGATACATTTACTTCTCAGACCCTTGTCTAGATCATAGGGTTTGCCAGGCTTACGCCTCAAAACGTCAGGTTTTGAATCTCCGAAAAAAAAGACATTGGCTTAGGGGAGGGGTAGGTGGGCAGTTTCCCAGAAAAGTATAATGATCCTTCTTTGTTTTACTTTTTTTTTTCAGAGATTCAAAACCTGACGTTTTAAGGCGTAAGCCTAGCAAACTTTGTGATACAGAAAATCAGTCTAGACAAGGGTCCGCGCTAGTAAATATATTTATTAACGTTCTTTTTGAGAGAGGGCGTTTGTTTAAGAGTTAGCCAGTCAAAGGACGTCAAGCACGCGTCCAAGTGGTTGCACGATGAACGCGTCCTAGTGGTTGCACGATGAGCCGGCGAGCTAGTGTAGTAGTATCAGAATTCTGCGGTTTTAAACAACGTTTATTACAAAACATACATTAACGCTAATTAATTATGCTATATGTACTCTAATAAAACAAGGACAGTTTAAAATTGTCCGCAAAGCTGTTTGACACCAATAATCTTAAAATAGGATGTCTAAACGTTTTTTTGTTTAGTTGTTCTCATTATTGATCCTTCTATGATTGTTATTCAGTAATATTTAAAAAAAGTGAGTTAGCTACTTTTATTCACAACTAAGAAATTTTTCTTCTTTCTTAGTATGGTTCATATTTATGTTCTTCTTTCTTAGTATTGCTGATAGCTGCTTATATATTTCTCTGTAAAAGCAAAAAAATAAACTGTGAAGCTAATCAGAAGAAGGGGGTCCTCTTTTCCTGGTTGTGAGGTATTTGTTTAAATGAAATTACAGCTTCTACTGCTTGAATCAGAACATTATCATTTCAGTTCAGTGCAGTTACACCCGGTTGAGTGTGCTTTTACTTTTAAATCATCTCGGCTGAATTTTCAAAACCAAACAGTAATGCCAACGATGATAAATAAGGACTAAGCTTTAAAAAGAGGAGAAGTCGTTACGTCACGTTGCCATGGTGGCAAGGGGGCCAGTTTCTCGAAAGTCCCGGTAACTTTTCGGGCCCGAAATCAAACATTCAAACCGACATAAAAAGAATAAGAGCGCGAGTCCTGGCTAGCAAACTACTCCATTTTGTTTCATTAACTCATAGTTTTATCATGTTAGATGCAAAACTATTGAAACCTCGAGCGTCTATGTAAACGGAGACAGCTTACCGGGCTCGTTAATTATCGGGACTTTCGAGAAACGAGCCCCTGGATCTCAACATACCGTGGTCCTGCAAATATGGCAGAAGAAAAAAATGACAGAGTGACATGTATGATTGCACTCAAGTAACAAAACGATGTCCAAACTTTTCTTCCATCGTTCGTCAATGCTAATGGCCGTGTCTGTCAAAAAGATTGTTGAGTTCCAGAAATTCTGCTACCATGGAAACGTGACGTCACACTT